TCCGCCTATAAATAAGCTTCAACTTAATTGCATTCCCCCAACTGGGAGAAAAACGCAGACCCAGCATATTTATTGCCACTCAGCCCAGGTGTGTGAGTCTGTTTGCACAATATTTGTGTGCAGGAGCCAAAGTGCAAAAGACCCAATGAGTTTATTAAGATAAGAAATGTTCTCATGAATCCTCCAGTGCTGAATGTCTGTGCATGTGTTGGGTTGTTGTGTGTGATAATGAGTAATGAATCGGGTATCAGAGCAGCGGGACAGATGTGCGTGGTACCAGGACTACTGAGGGTGCTGAACTGTTCATTGCTCAAGGTTCCTTCCTGTCAGCTGCTCAGAAGCCCCCCTCCACGTCCCAGCATCCAGATGTTCAGCCAACGCGCTTTACCTCTTCCTCACCATGGGGGGGGAGTGGACTCCTGAAGTAACCGTGGTAACCATCATTTGTAAATATATGTGACCCAGACGTCTACAAAACTTTCACGTGTAAGACAATATTTCGCCTCGTTATAACAAAGATGTCTGCACATATCGTAATGCCTCCAAGTCACCAAGTCATTACTTCATGCTTTTTTTTAAGTTGCAGCAACTGGAATGATTTGGTTTTGATTCAATTGTCAATTCAGATCATCAATGCGAATACAAAAATACTACAAAACAAAGAATACAACATACCCCGAGGCACAGTAAAAGAAATGCTAAGACACATTCCAATTATTGAGAGAACAGACAGTATGAGGCTTGCATGAATAAAACAAGAGGAGTAGAGCTTTGAAAAGGATTAGCTGAGCTCGAGATGCTCCTGGCGGGGAGAGAGGACTGCCAGCAAAATCCTTTCAGTTCTGTAAAAGTGCTGCAATGGGTGAACGCTGAGTGGTGAGCAGGGTGAGGACCAGCGTTGACATGTGTCCTGTCAATTGTGATGTTCACAGAAGTGACAGAGTACATGCATGAGATATGTGGGAGCTGGAGGAGGTCTATAGGTAGGAGAGGACTAAATCTATGCATCATATCTAGAGCACAATGTAACCCGGCCTCCACGCGCACGATGCTATTTATAAAAACATTAGGCGGGTTTACAAGGAGAGTCGTGCTCATAGCAGCGTGACCACAGTGGCATTTACTCCAGCAGATTCCGGTCTGTCCGCTGCACACCACTCATTGGTTTATGAATCCATCAGAGGCCGGTTAAACGACCTGCGTCTCCGGGGATGGAGCTCCTCCGCCTTGCAGCTGTGCCGTCTTCTCCGGGTCAAAGGAAACAGCAGCCGGCGACCTCTAGCTGAAATATTCTCTGAAGCACACCGGCTCTAAACCTTTGGTCACCGCCATACACCCCGTGTAAATAAAGAGGATATTTATAACATCTACGACGGATTAACCTGACTGCTATTTTCTCCATTCATAATTTTTTTTTAGTTTCCATCCATGAAGATTTCCATCATAGTCCAAGAGGACAACTTCTGTCTTATTCTGTCTCATTCTGTCTCAGTCCCCGAGACATTCGGTTTACAAACACAGTGGATCAGGGAAACCAGCGAGCTGTAACCAGGTAGTTTAATAACTCAAATCAATGAATCAATGGTCGGAAGACTTGCCAAAGTAGCCATTGTTGCATCAGTACTCATTTTGCTGATGGCACCTTCCGAATAATAAGAATAAACCGCAACAATTTAGATTTTTGATTCAATTCAGTCTCTTTTGATTGTTTTATTGTTTTTATTGGTTGTTGGTCTGACAAGAGATTTGAATCTGCACCCTGAGCTGTAAGAAATTATAAGGAGTATTTTTCAGTTTTATGACGTTTTGATGTTCGAAAATAATAAATGAGTCCTAATAAAGGACACATCGGTGGCAGAAATCAGGTAATTGTCGGTTGCAGCTCCGTTAATCTAAAGCTGCAGTGTGACCCGTAATGATGAGTCAAAATTGACGATGGTGGTGAAATAACTGCACGACGGAGCGTTTCAAGGGAATTCTGTTAATCGGCAACATGTCGGGTCCTGGCTTCCTGGTAGACGTCCATGAGGTTCTTGTCCGTTAGCGAGGAGCAGATGAGCTGCAACCTCAACGAAATCGACTTGTCAACCATTGTCTGAGCAAGAATCGGAGTTGTATACCAGCGCTCCACATCAGGGCGGTAATACGTTTCCACTGTGATTGATAACGATGGGACCAAAGTGTGCAGAAGCAGATCGGGACTCGTGGAACACGGTGGACGAGAAAGGAAGCGCATGAGAGCTGAAGCATCACGTCGTCTAATTGTCCCAAAAGGACATCAGAGAAGGCTGTTGCCCTTTAGACGGGAAGCGCACTCTGCCCTCATTTACTGGTCGCAATTATCGCTGAATTAGCAGCAGGCAGGAGAAGTGCTTCCGCGCTGCGCCAAGGAGGGAATCTGTTGTTTCAAGAACTTTGCAAAATGGAAATAAACACAACTTTTCCATTGTCAATTTCAGTTGGAATATGAATGTGAAAACAATGGAGGGAAATTAATTCTGTATTTTTTCATGTCGCGAGCATGAAAACGACCCTGAGGAGAGCTTTCAAGGCAGCAGAAGAAACATTATTGTAATTATGCCTTTTAGCGAATATTCTACACATTCATCCCCTTTGTTTTGTGGATGGAAATGTTCTCATGCATCTTCTAGTATGCTTCTGGATAAAGCTGTCACTTCCACTGCTCCTCTTTGTCTTCTTTATGGATGCACACAGAATCAAATTCATCACTATCAGAGTGTAATTATGGAAATTTCTGGGGATTTGTTGGGAGTTCTGTAACAGCAGTCTGCCATTTCTACAAAAGATTCAGAAGCCTCTGAAAGGGGGATGGGATGGATTTTCATATTAATACCCGGGCGCGTTCATGCATCGGAACAATTTTCATTGTTACTGGCGAATAATGCCCTGTATGAGATGTACGTCATTACTCTGTAGTTAGTACGTTAATCAGAGCTGACCGTGTAAGTTTAGCTTCATTTCCTCCTCTGCAGTTAAAGCCGCATCTTGCTAGTTGCGTCAACGAGAACATTTCCCTGTTATCATTCCGTCATTGTGTTGTTTGTTCTTTGTAAGCACACGGCCACTTCTTTGCAAAGCTACTGAAGGCTGATTTATAAGCAATAATGTGATTTCAGTTCTTCCTGAAAAGGATCTTAGAGCGAACGCTGTGAGCTCTGCCTTTAACCCCCATCGTGCATGATTTATGTATGTTATAGATGAAACTCCGACTACATCTGTTCCATAATGCTGCTGGTTTGAGTTGGTTCAAAGGAATAGGTTTAATTTGTTTTCTGTTTGATGAGAAGATTGATGGCACTGATGACAGTGGTTCATTTTAACAGTAGTTAGGAGTCAAGAGTTTCTGAAGCCAAAATGATTTGACCATGAAGTCGGATTGTTCCCCGCAGGAGCACGTATGAGCTCACAGCGAGTGAGCGGTGCTGCACTCATCTAACTCGCAGCACGATGCGCAACACAATGAGCAGATCAATAGACCAGCATTCTCTCACAATGTCAACCACAACACTGCAGTCTCAGAATAGCAGTCTTTCTCCCTCACGCTCCCATGGCCGACTCCAGGCCCACAAAGCATCTCGCACATTAATCAGGCAAAACTCTCAGAGCTCAGTGGGTCCCCAAGAGCACGCTGATCTCCCCGCCCCTCATTCCCCTGCCACTGGTCCCCTGGGCTGCCTCGGCCCCCAGGAACCCGCACCCCCCCCGGAGCACGGAGCACGGAGCACGGAGCACGGAGCCTGCCAGCCAGCCAGCCACAGCACGGCTGAGAGGGTCCTGATTGGTGGGGAAAGCGGACGTCACGGAAGCATGTCACTTTGATTCAGCGCCTGCAGACCGATGTGTGAGATGCGAGCTGTGAAATAAACAAATCAATATTCTCAAGCACACATTCCAGTAACCCGGAGCACTGCCTTACATTCACGGGACAAACAGCTGTAGTGTTCAATACGCGGCCCTGATGCTATATTGTGCAACAGAACTGTGCGTTGCTGTTATTGCAACACTGCCGAATATGCCCAGTCCGTGGTACGCTTGTGCACATAACAAGCACAATGCACATCAAATCCCTATTACTCTCACAGATGCTTACCTCCAAAGCTGTGTTAGTACGGACTTCACCCGCAAGGAATTGAACCTCCAGTCATATCATTCGTTATCACAAGGTCTGCCTACGAACCTAAAAAGACGGCCGTGTTTCGTTAATACCTGGGACCGAGCCGGGATTTTGACCTTTGTCGTTGTTTTCTCTCTGATTGTTACGCTGCTCCTATTCTCCCATACTGTGTTTTTTTTTTTTTCAATTGAAGCAGCCGTGACACGGAAACAACAACAAGAAAAAAAAAAGAGCAAAAATCAAGAGTTGCACAAAACAAAAGCAGCAAGGATTAGAGAGGCAAGGGTGTGTTGCTTTAGGACTTCCTGTTTCCACAGTTGTGTGAATCCCTATTGCATGCGACGCACATAGATTTTCTACCAAAGCGCTCTGATGAGAGCAAGATCTCTTGACAGGAAAACAAGGGGATGTAGAGTGCACGCTCAGATGAGACGGTACGCTGTCGAGCCATATGAAGGAAAGAAGCGTTTAAAATTCACAGTGATGAGGTGCAAACAGCACATGAATAGCTCACCAAAGTATGTTCTAAACTAAATGATGTCAAGAGGCAAGGAAAACGACATCTTCGTATCAAAAGCAAAACCCTGAAAAATGTCTGGCGGGTTGAAGCTAACGTTCAAATCTTATATACTCCGGTTATCGTTTCGTGGCGGGTTATCACTGTCAAAGTGCAACTCAAATAACTCAAATAAAACATAATCAAACGAATGAGATCCAAAAAAAGGCGTGCAAAAAGAATAACTGATTTCTTTCACTTATTGACTGTGTAATAACCCTGTTTGATTTAAAATCTGCAGTAGTAAATCAGAAAATAAAACATTAATAAACTGCCACATAACTATGAGAGAAAAGAAAATAACTTTACCAGGTCTCGTCGTTTTTGAATTCCAGCTCTCCATAGGTGTCTTCAAAGTCCTCCCCTCCTCCCTTGGCGAGTCCTTCCACGCTGCGATAAGGCACAATGATCGTCCCCCTTGCTCCAGAAGTCCTCAGCACCTTCACCTCCATGATGCCCACGCTCTCACTCACGTGCACAGAGTTGCTCTCAAAGGTGAAGATGCCCGAATGATCGTCGTCCAGAATGGTCACGGTGGCCACGGTGGGAAAGCCCAGCATGGCTTTCGGGTACTGCAGACTGTTGGGGGACAGCACCTCGTCCTCCGTCTCCAGGACCCGCAGATTACTGAGCCGCACAAAAAAGTGCTCGTCCTCTTCAAAGATGTCGTCGTCTATGATGCCAATGTTTATCTCCTTGATCATCTCTCCTGGCTTGAACACCACCGTGCCCTCCGAGAACTCGTAGTCTGCCCCGGCGTTTGCCGAGCCGTCCTCCGTCTTGTAATCCACGTAGATCGTCTTGTTGACGTCGCCACCCTTCCTGGTGACGGTCAGAATGGCGGCGCCGCAGTTCTCGAGGCACTGGTAGACGGCAGGCTCAAACGCAATCCGAGACACGTACTCTTCTGGCTCCTCCACGTGCACCTGCTGCACGCTGACGCTCTTCTTCGCCTGCTCCGCCACGTGTTTCTTCAGGATGTTTCCGGCGCCCGTCATCATCCGTGTTGCTTGGATGCGGTAGAAGGCGCGGCTCTTTTGCTGATGCGAAAGAGCGTAGTAGTTGGCCATTTCCACCAGCTGATCCATCTCTCTCTCTGGGTGCTTCTGCTTCAGGTCTTTCAAGATGCGGATCATGTCGCGCCTGGACTCGTCCACCTCTTTGCTTTCGATCAGGCCGATGAGATTGCTGGGCCCTCCTCCGTCCATGAAGTGAGAGTTGACCATCTTGCCGTCCATCTCGATCCCCTTGGATCGCTCCGCCTCCGTCTCAATGATGACGCCCCTGTGTTTGTCGGTGCGATACTTCTTGTGCATGAACTTGTAGAAGAGCAGCCGTCTGTCCGCTACCCACGCCAGGAGTACGCATATGGGGAAGAAGGCCAGTGTGACTAGACCCTCCCAGACCTGGACTACGTTGGGGGAAAACACGGCCAGAATCATGTAGAGCCAGATGTACGCGAAGACGCTCCAGCCCGCAGTGACAAAGAACACTCTGAGGTGTTTGATTTTGCGTACCTCTCCTTGGGGAATGACGGACACACAGAGGCCAATGATGACAAACATATTGAAGGCTGCGCTGCCGACTATTGTGGCGGGCCCGAGCGCGCCCGATTGGAATCCATGTCCACAAACCTCGATTAAAGAGAGCAGAATCTCCGGGGCGGACGAGCCCAAGGCCATGAGGGTGAGGTTTGACACAGTTTCATTCCACACCCGAATCGTGGTGGTGGTTGTTTCCCCATTGGGCCTTTTGATGACAAGTTCCCTCTCTTGGGAGGTGATGACCTCAATGGCCGCCATGAAGCGGTCGGCAATGATGGACACTCCGAGAAACATGTAGATCATGGCCACAAAATACACAATGACCCGTGCGATCTTGTCTCCCATGGAGGGATCTTCGGGATACCAGATGGGCAGGATGATCCCCGCTCGACACTTTCCGGCGTTTCCACTGCACGTGGCATTGCTGGGAGTCAGCAGAGGGCTCGGAGTGGTCCGGGCGTCTGCACAAAGGAAGGCCACCGCAACAGAGAGCAGCCCAAAGCAGAGGCAGGCTGACGACCCCGGCTTTACAGGCCTTGAACCCTCCATGCACCCTCCTTCGTCTCAAGGGTCCTTACCACACTGACCGTCCCCCCGGGGTCCAGCACTGGGCTGTGCTTTTTCTCCACCCACCACCTGAACACAACAAACGACAGAGGTGGTATTGATGTTATACTCTATATACAAAACACAAAGACTTTTGTCGGAGAAATAGGCAGAACAATCATAATGCAATAACTTAAGGCTATTTTTACTAGATAGATGAAAGCATAAATACATAAACATAATAGCACATACAGTATATTATTACATAATGGATGGTTGTTGATTACTGTCATGTTGTTTAAAACCCCAAGTTTGAGGAGAAGTATTAGTTCACGTCTATGTGAGTGTGTGTTTGCATTTCACATGGCGCGACACACATTCTGAGGCAGGAATCCAAGTGATCCCACCACGCTGCTGTAAAACGCCAATGAGCTTCTCCCTCCTTCATCGGGAGCCTTATGTTATTTATGAGAAGCTGGCCGCAAAATACTTTCCCATGCTTAGGAATTCATAGGTTTTCCAGCTCTCCAAACCACTATGTGAACAATGTAGATAACATTGGTTCAATAAAATCATAGCCCGTGGGCTCATTTCTAATCATAAAGTTCATTTCGAGTTTTTTTATGTGGATACATGCGCCCGATAATGTGGATTTTAGCAAGATTTTCCGAGACCTGCGGGGTAATACAGCTCTGAACCAAACAGCCCGCTCAGCAGGCAATATTGCCCAACTAAGCAGTGTCCAAAATGTTGCATTGGCAAAAAGAAAACAGCAGGAGGGAGGCAGGAGACCGTCAAGAGGCCAACTGAAACAAAAGGTACCCGTGTGCCGTCCCAATTCCGTAGATACTGAGCTCTGAATGCAAACGTAACACTTGTGCAAAATAGGGCAGCATTACAATAATGCAGAAGTTGTCCAAATTCATGAACACTCGGACTAAGCAACTTAAACTCTTCAGTTATTTTTTATTGCTGAGGCCCATAGGCAATGGGAGCGAGGAGAAAAGTGAACGACCCCCAGATGTGAGCTAATATAAGGAGATAACACATGGGATTTATTATAAAGGCCCTTTTCTCAGTGGTATGCCTGGATTTTTTCTGTGATTGAGAAAGAATGTGTGTCTTCTACAGCCGTCACCACACCTCCAGGGCCCCTGAGAAAGGCCTTGACAGTCTCGTTTGAGATAACTTGTTACCACTTGTTTCCCTTTGCTTTCGTTTTGCTAAATGTATCTTTAATGTTTCTACATTTTCTACCTTGAAGTGCAGTTTTGTGTTCGGATTCCTGCTTAAAGTGCGATTACCTCTGAGGCCGCCAAAATGTGTACAGTTTGAACTCGCTTTAAGGCACTTTGGATAAAAGCATCCATTAAATGGCACATTTTATGCTGTGAATCGTTGATTTGTTATGCAGTGCACTGGATCTAAATACTCACACAGTTCAAGTAACTCCAACTTGCACTATGATGATATCCATCATCCAGTTGGCATATAAGCTCTCACACAAATTTAAAAGCCAAATATTGTCTCTGGAACCTCAGCAGTAGCAACACACGTAATGTCTGTAAAAAAAATCAAAATGTTGAGTTCAAATTCAGACTCTGGCAAAAACAATGAATATAGTCTGGAAGAAATTATTAATTATATTTCAGGGATACAAATAATTGCATTACTATCTATATTGTAAAGATTTCTTGATCCAATCCTCCATAACTTTCAGAAATATATGGCTTTAAGGTCTTATAAAACTTTAAAATGCAGGGTGAATGCGGCTTGAAATTACATTTCTATGCTGTTAAAAAAATGTTGATTTCAGAGCATCGAGCTGATCTGGAGGACGGAAAAGGCGATGATAGCCAACAGTAGCAGAAGCAGGATACAATAAACTTTAAAGTTAACTTAATCAGCAGAGCCATTTATATGAACAGAGCCAGCTATAAAAATCCCTGTGAGCGCTGAGCACAAACAAAAACAACAGGGAAATAATTGAGTGACAAAGTTTTAACTTAATGAGAGAAAAGTTTAATTTAAAAACTATGGATTTTCCAGCCTTTTGGACTTTTGTATCCGTATTAAAGTTGAACATAGAAACTCACCTACAAGAAAGATGTGTACTGCTTAAATTGCAGTCATTAACCTTTATTAACCGTACTGAAAATGACCTGCATTGGAAAAGTGAAAGCCGGGATTCGTTTTCCAAGGAGGCTAGAGGGAGTGCCTCGTTCTGTGTTGCATCGGAGCAGCATTGCTGACCTGCGAGCTTCGCCCTGTCTTTTTTATTGCATGGTGGCTCGCCTGGGTGGACGGGCAGAAACTGCAATGAGGCAGAAACAGACGGAGCATCCAGAATTTAAAGGCTGGAGAGACTCTCAGTATGTTACAACGCAGGGCAGGGAATGATTAAAAGACTTCCCATTTAATAGTGAGGTGATGCGACACCTAAATCCAAGGTGTCGCATCAAAATCAACCCCCATATTTTAGGCTGACAACAATTACATCCTCGTTTGTAACCTGGGTCGATCTCACCTTTTTGGACTTATTGCTTAAAAAAAGGAACATGATTATGATTACTCCAATGTTGATATGGGAATTTTACTGTATTGCCAAAATTTGTTTATATTTACAAATCCAGAGAAAAGCAACATGTGTTTCTGTCACATTGACTGTAAATGCATTATTAACTCTATTGGCTCACTAGCTGTCTGGGTTTGTCTAGAGGTGCGTGCTGGGAATGCAGCGTAGTGTAGAGAGGACTTCACTTAAAACCGTTGCCCCCCCACATTGTAAAAACAACACTGTGAGGGTGAACCAAAACTGCAAAGACAAATACCAGAAAGCTATAACAATTGTCTGTGCTTTCATCACTGCAAACGACCTCTTTCACATGCAAGACTGATTGCAGCAGCTAAAAATGAGCTGAAATGTGATGTTATTTTCACACTACACTGTAGCTTTAATGCAGACAGCTGGAGCCGTCTCTACTGTATGTGTGGACGTGTGTTATGAGAGTTTGGGGGGAGGAGAGCGGTGGAAGAGAGTGAGCGTGCTCAGTCAACCCCTCCTGGATGAACACAGGCGCAACAAAATGGCCAATAAGCCAAATAGCCATAAATCCAAGAGCCAACTACTCGGGTGACACGAATCATTTTAAAGATATAAAAGCTATAGAATGACTCCCGATAGCTTCCGTTAAATACCTGCTGCCTTGAACCATCGGACATATACAGTTCATCAGCTGAATAACGTCATCCTTACAGAGATTAAAATACAGTTGTGCTAACTTCAACCATCTCCCACAAGACATAAAAGACGATATTATATACTCTATAAGTTGTCTTTTTGTTGTTGTTTCACATCTAGAAATTAATTCCGCAATCTGGAATTTCATACTAAGGAAGGCTATAACATTGCAACTAGCAGTACTACTACTTCTACTGCGACTATTATTAATATTATTACCAAAGGCATTACAATACTTGGAGAACTAACATTGCAAAACTGCGACTAACTACACCTCAACTACTACTAAACTAGTGCCCACAGAGACACAAAGTGTCCTGTGTGCATTCAAACCCTGCATTTATTCATTTTGCAAACACACAGATCAATTATCATATCAAGTTAATATAAATTGTAAATGAGGTTAAATCCCCTCTGAACTCTGAAAATGCTGGGACCTACAATTCCCACAATGCACCTATATTGCCTGCAATGGACTGTCACTGACTGGTATAAATGTTGCATCTCCAGAAGCATAAAAGTCTTTATATTACAAAACGAATGCTGGCAATGTGGATGGATTTGATTGGTTAGTTTGGGAACCCATTCAAGACACATTTCTACATGTAAAGCTCATTTAAATGATTGCATCCTAGCTCTAAGGGGGTCCAGGTGTATGACCTTTACAAGGATCTTGCATTTTAAATATTGATTTCTAATCAGCACTAAGAGTATTGTATGCTGTCAGCCAATGCAGAACGAACGATTCTATTTGCCTTTGTGTACCAACATTAGAGCCCTGACCCCTAAATTAGCAGCTACACAAAACAATTTGCATTCTAATTACCGTTTTAAGGATTGTATTTCACATCGTGAATGTAGAGGAGGCCTGACGCTGGAGTTTAATCAAGACTGTTCAGCTGCCACCTCAAAGTTTGTTTGTTTGTTTGTCGTTCACCAAAAAAACTGCACAAACGTAAGAGCCACATTACAGCGGACATATTATATAAGTTAAGCATGTGGTTAATTGTGACATATTCCAATGAAGTCCAACACTGACCATGTGCAACCTCGGCTATGTGTGGGTGAACCCACTTAAAACTGAATTCACAAAAATCTGTCAATGACGCCGGAGGAGAGGGGGGGGGTTATGGGGGGGGGGGGGGGTATTTTAAGCTCAGAGATGGATCTTCAGAGCCTCCTCCTGCAAGCCGTGAAGCAGCCCCTCAACATGTGGGTGAATCCACTTAAAACCAAATTTACAAAACTCCTAACTAACTCAATTCCTTCAGCCATTTGAATATATATCAACATTGGTTTTGGAACATTGTGATTTTTTGTGGTGTGTGTGTGTGTGTTTTTTAATGATTTTCTGAAATGTCATATGATTATCCAATTGATCCAACTGGTCGCACATACACACCGACAATATAATCGCAGCCATAACTTGACCTCAAAAACATTGAAATGGTTCAAATGAAAAGAATTAACTGCTATTAACATGTGATTGGGTGGCATGTTTCAGTCCTGCATGTGACCGATGCAGACAGCGACACGGCGGTGACAGTTGCTCGCCTCTCGGGTCTCTTTTCCTATTTTGGGAAGAAGGTCCTACCTATGGAAGGCCACTTGACACGCGCGAAAACACGGACTCAGCAGCCCCCCCGGAGAGCCTCAGCTGTTGCTGATTAATCATCAGAAGGCAGGCCCGGGGAAGCCCCCGCCGGGGCACCCGCGGGCCCCCGCGGTGGCAACTTACAGGGTGCGCACGGTCTGATGCACAGACAATACACGTAGCCTAAAATGTTCCTCCCGCCGGACAACCGAGAGCCGACCCTCAGCAAACACCGGCGACTCCTGACAGGGGGAGCGCGCGAGGGGCCAGCGACACAGCGCGAGCTGAAAGAGGCGTGCGAATCAAAGAAACGGGCTGGAGATCCAGGTGTGCAGCCAATCAGCGCTGTCCGACGCCTCGCGCTGACACACGCCAATTATCCGAACGGCACACCCAATCGAGGGTATCGCGAGTCCATCGCGGCGCGCTGCGATGGATCTCCTCCGCACGATGATGAGGATGCGGATGAGGAGGATCCTAAAGGCGGGTCGGACCCCGGGCAGGACGCAGCGCGCCGGAGTTCTGGACTACATCACTTGGCGGCTGTATTCGCAGCTTTGCATCTAGCGTGTCTTCTACCAGCTGTCCCCACAGTGCCGATCCGCGTCTTGCTGTCCCTCAGCAAATGTGGTCTACCGGGCCGCATCACTCAGTCGGCCCCCTGGTCATTGAAATAATCCCCGAGTTTGCATCACGCGTTTATTCATTGTAACATACCTGTATTTGTGTCCCCCGGAAATAGTCTCCTGTCCGCCCCCCTCCCTCCACCCGCCCTCCTCTGTATGGCTCCTTCGCCGTCCAGATCAGCCTCCGCCAGCAGTCTCAGTGTAGCGTCGCTGTTTGGATCTCTGGAGTCAAACGTGCTCCTCTGACCAACAACCCCCTCCCCCCCCGCCGGTGGAGCCACGGTGTCGTCCTCATGCACGGGGAGGCTGGTCCCCCCCCCACCCACCTCGCTGGGTATTGGGGATTGTCTCTAACTGGTCAGAAGTGATCACCTGTCGTCCTCTCCTGCCTGCGACCTCCTCCCGGATCCTCCCCGTCTGACGGATTGACCGGTCGCAGAGTGTCATGACGAGGAGGAGGGGGTGGGTTATGGAAGGGGGGTATTTTAAGATCAGGGAGGGTCTTCAGAGCCGTCCGACGGTCTCCTCCTCTGAAGCGGAATCAGCCT